CCCCAGGCTCTACTATTCTCGTGCTTTACATGCAACTTAATCCCACTACACATCAACATGACTTCCATGAACTTCACAGCACCACCACAGCATTGAACGCCATCAATCCAAAGGTAACTCATGGCCTTAACCGAAACCGCATCTTCGAGATAACTGTCCTAGTAGCGTTTGATTTGTCGAATGCTCCCCAATCTAATTGCGTACATTGAGACATAGTCTGCATCCATAAGGACTAAAGCGGGGAACGGTAGATTATATAAGTGGTCGACAGTCAACTTTACTCGTTGGAGATGAAATCTCCGAACCAAGAATATTTAACAGGTTTGGACGCCTACTACTATTTAACATCAGCATCTCGGAAGTTTCGTCTTCTCATTTGCTGGCAACGGCTAGAGATTGGCGCCGCAATGGCTTTAACGACCTGCGTTTTGTTATCGTCGTTATGCTTAGAAGGATTCAGTGTTTCAATTTCGTTGGGAAAAAGTCAAAGCAAAAACAAAACCAAACAAGTAATTTTTTAGCAAAAACCAAAACCGACTTCAATTCTCATATAAAAATTCAAAATTATCGGTAATTGTCGGATCTAAACAAAATTATTATGGGACTATTCTAGATTCTTTCTGATGAAATCGAAAAATCGGTTAACATGGTCCAAAGTTACGCGGTGACATGCATAAAAATAAAAATAAAATTACGCCTCTGACTTTGAACATCGAATTCGTAGGTTCGATCCCTGCTGAAGTCTAGAAAAAAAGAAGTCTGATGAGGAGATGTGGTGATCTCCGAAATAGTGCTATAACTTCTACCGCTTAGACTTTGTTGCTTTTTCTATTTTTCCTAATAAACAATCGTGGTACAAAGCTCAATAAAAATATTAAAAAAAAAAAAAAATAAAAAGAAAAAATCTGACGAACAAATAAACTCCTCCTTTTTTGAAGCCGGTTAAAAAGAGATCATAAAACAGTGCAGATCAAACGTTTCCGAGTCAAAAGTTCGCTGATTTAAGCCACATGAAGCATTTCGCACGCCGCAAGCCAAGTGACTGTGTTGAGCTGTGATTTCAGTTGCCATCCAATGCGCTTTACTTTCAGCACTCCCTCTCCCACTCCCACCCACACACCACACAGCCACAATTCTCGTATACGCTAAAGGATATTAATTTCCCAAAGGTGTTTTGGTTTTGCACACGACAACGCGACGCAACAATAGCAACAAAACCCACATTCACAGCGGCGACATTTCACTCTCAAGCAAAAACTTAACAAAAAAACAAAAACGACAGGGAAGTGAGTATGAGAAGCGGTGGCTCGGTTGGAACGCGGCTGCAGGCAGATGACAACATCCGAATGTGGCATACATTGTGCGTAGTTTTGAAACATTTGGTGAACGTAAGTGGTGATTGCAGCCTTAACTGAATTTGCCATGAGAGACAAGTTCATGCCGGCAGAAGAAGTGGCAGACGCAGTTGAAATGAAATGTGTTGCGAAGCGAACATTTCTGCGTTTGGTCATCAGGTGGCTTTAAGTGTGACTGGACTGTGGATTGATTAGGTCGATAGAGACGTACAGACGGTTCGGAAGAAGTCAGCTGGAAAAAAATTTGTATTCCTATTTTCAAATTGAAATTCAATTTCGCTTTAAGCGGGGCGAAGGAAGGTAGAATATGTTCTAAACTTTGACTGTGGACAGGCGGTCTCACAGACGGTCGAGCTCATGGCGAAGAAGACTGAAAAGGCTATGTGTGTTTATTTTTAATAACAGTTTTTGGTACCTTACAATAAAAATTTATTATTTCGACATTAACAGCGCACTTCTGGCAACTGTTTTTCCACTCATCGAAGTCTTTCGAAAACCAAAAGACTTTCGTAAGAAAATTTCCAATTCTGGTAGCTATGTATGTTGAAAGCTCTTTTCGTTCTTTCGAAAGACTAAATGAAAGAACGAGGAGGTCTTAGCGTTATTCGGTTTTTCTTTAAGCAACAAGTTTTCTAAAAATTAAATATAAAATATATAAAAAATTTTATAAAAACAAGTCAAAATTCAACTAAAACTAAATAAGAAGGAAAAATAAAATAGACGATTTTCTAAAAATTAAATGAAACTAAAAAATATATTTTCCTTTTCAAAACAATGAAATCTAAGTATTAAAAAAAATAGCTTGAAAAAATTAAACTCCTAAATATATCAAAAAAAAATATAACCTTTCTTTTTAAAACCATAAAATGTAAAAGTTAAAAGAAAATTAAGTTAAAATTTAATGAATAAAATAAAAATGAAATAAGTTGCTAAATATAAAATGAAATTAAGCAAGAATAGTTTCCTTTTAAAGCAAAAAAATTTAAAAACAAAATTAAAAATGAATAAACTTTCCTTTTTTTTGCGACTTTTGAAGCAGTGCTAGCAAAATGAGTATGCTTTTTGTCAAAAGATCTTTTCACCATGAAAGTTGGCAAGTGTGCATTTTTTGTAAGACCCTCTTTGCAGAATAAAAATTAAATTTAAAATAAGTGTATATACATTTTTTAACAATAAAAATTAAAACAAAACTAAATAAAAATAAAAATAAATAAATAAAATAATTTTATAAAAATTGAATCAAACTAAAAAACGTACTTTTATTTTTAAACCAATTAAACCCAAGAAATAAAAAAATTAAGGTTAAAAAAATTCAGTTCAAAAATAATATATGTTCTTGAATATAAAAAATTGGTGTAAATAATTTTTCTTTTTGAAAATATCAAATGTAATAATTAAAAGAAAATGAAGTTAGAAAACTTTACCAGTAAAGAAAAATAAAATAAATTGCTAAAAATTAAGTAAAATTAAACAAAAAATATTTTTCTCTTAAAGTAATAAAGTTTAAAAACTAAATTAAAAATGAAAAAAAAATTATTTAAAAATAAGTTTATAAAAATTAAATGAAATAAAAAATATAAATATATTTTTACTTTTAAAAACAAGAAAACCTAATATCCAAAAGAATGTTTTAAAAATTTTTGAAATACAACAAATATATTTATATTTCTGTTTACTATAAAAAAAAATCGCTGCCCGAGGACTCGAACTAGAGATGGGTGTGGGATAGCGGGACCCCCGGTACTGATTTAAAATTGGCCGGGATGGGCTATATCGGGAAGATCTGTAAAAATATGGCGCGAACCCTCCCGCCAAAATTCTTTGTCGACACTCCCGATAAAACCACAACCCCCGCAAATGCACAAAATCTTCCTTAAAATGGTGTTTGAAATATGCACTTTTCTTAAGCAAAACAAAATAATCGGAAGATATCAAAAATCGTTAAAAATATCGATAACAAAATAGATAAAAATAACGATAACAAAATCGATAATAAAAATTGCTTAGAAAATCGATAAAAAATTGATAACAAAATCTTTTACAAAAAAGTATCGATAATAAAATCGTTAAAAACATCGATTACAAAGTCGATATAAAAACTGATTATTATATCGATATGTTTCGAAGATATCGATAGCAAAATCGATAACAATATCGACTAGATTATCTATAACAAAATCGATAACAAAAGCGATAAAAATTTTGATTATTATATCGATAAGTCCCGAGAATCCCGAAAATATCTAGAATCCTAAAATAGTTTACAGATTGAGTCTCTGTCTCTTCCTCTATCTTCATCTTTACTTTTATCGGTGTCCTCACCCTAATCTTTTTCTTTATATTTATCTTTGTTTTTACTTTTGCGTTTATCATTTTCTTCATCTGAATATTCCCCTTCACTTAAGTAAAGTGTTTAAATTTACATTGATCTTTTAATTTTTTGCCTTTATCTTACGCATATATTTTGTTTGTTTTTATTTTTAACTTTGCCTTTATTCTTTTCTTTATCTATGTACGTACTCCCCTTTACTTTCATTCATGTATTGGTCTTTTTCTAAGTTTTATTCTTTAACTCAAGAAGCACTTGTTTCAGCCCCAACCATTTCCGTTTACCATTTCCGTTACATCATTTCCGTGTGCAATTTCCACTGAATTTGCCAATTTACTCCCAACCAACTAACCGCCGCTAACGGAGTTTCACTTCAAAAATATTTTCGTAGAAATGGTATAGAATTCTTGAAAATTAATATTTTTCGTTTTCTTCAGCAGACTTCCAATAATAATACCAAATTGTTTATTTTACCATTTTTTAAAAGTAACTGTTTTGTTTATGTGTTTCAAAAACCCGCAAAAATGCAAAGGGGACCTATAAGAAATCATTAGTATTAAGAAATGGTAAAATAAACAATTCGGTATTATTATTAGGCTCCTGAGAAACAGAGTGTTCCGATCGAAAAATATTGATTTTCAAGAATTCTATACTATTTCTATGAAAAACTGTTTTTTCCCATATAAAATATTTTTTGATTTAAAAACAAAAAAAAAAACAGGAGTATATTTTTTCGATATAGGACAATCATAGGGGATGAGAGCACTAAACTTCGATCTTTACTTTTATATATACATATAGATAAAAATATGTATATTTCTCTTAATATAAGCTTTGGTAACTTCATAAGGAATTTCGACTTTGAGCCTTTCGAAAGAGAACACTACACTGCGCTAAACAAAATGTCTTAATCAGGTAATAAAAAGCAAAAACATAATTAATCTTTACAAAGAATAACTATTTGATTTATCAATGCAGAAGCGGATTTAAACCATTGCAGATAGAGTTTACCCTTCCTTAAGATAGTAGATTTACGAGGCCATAAACTTATAAAATTTGTATGCTTTGCAAGTTAAGATGACTGTACCCTTAGGGATTTTTTATGTTATATATTTTAAGTTTTCGTGCCATAAATACATCGATTAAATTGAATCAAATTTATTTTATTACCCTACCCCATGTAGAAGTAAAGAATTTGGTTGTTCTGCTTCATTTATTTAACTCAGGGTGCATAGGTGCCATTTAAGAAGAAAAAAAAAACTTACAAAAACAACTGATTCAAACGGAATGTGCAATTATACATAGTTATACGCGTATTTATTGCCAATGCATTTTCGATTAACTATAGTTTATAAAATTCGAAAAAATAGCTTAACAAAAGCTACTTTTATTTGATAGAAAATCCAAGTGGTGTGAAAAACATATTCACCCGTTGGCACTGGCAGTACTTCGGTTGCCATGTGATTGATGTGACCCAGAGGTAGTTTATCAACGATTTCATCTTGCTGAAAGCGAAATTATTTAAATAATTTTAGATGTATTTATTTATGTATGTAAGTGGTTTATATGTTTATCCATCCATGTATGTATGTATGTATATAGCAATATGATTCAAAATAGCTCACGACTTACCGGTCCATATGGGCAACTTCTATTTATGGTCGAATATTTCTCGAACCAGCTGTGAAAGTATTTAACAACAGGATTATTGCGTTTCTTTATATATTTGCATGCGTCGATGGTGAAATTATATAAAAAAGGTTTATAGCCATTAGCTTTACGTAGCAAGGCGAAGGACATCTGAAATTTTCAGATTTTTAATATTATTTTGATTTATTTTTCTTAAAAATTTGTATTTTCTCTACATACCGAAATATTGTTAACTGGCTCATTTCTTGGAAATTTTGCACGTAATGTCAAGTATTTATAAGTGCGATTAACAGCCTTTAAACGGCAAAGGGGGAAGGTCAGGTAAGATTTGTCGACTTCAATGCATTCGACATTGGTAAACTCCACCGCTGGCATTACAGCAATCTGCATAAAGTTTATGATGTATATGTATATAAATGCATTCTGCTGTGTTGTGTAAGTTTTTCTGCTTTATATTAGTATCACTTACAATAAAAATGCTGCCGATGATCGATGCGCAAAAAATACGTTTCTTCATGCCTACTGCTGGATTGACAATGGCGTATAGCCGCCAAAAATTTAATGACTAGAATCAATAACTAAATCTGTCAGCCGTTAAGTAAATGTATTAATTTACATATATTAATGGATTTTCATCGAGTCAGCGCGCAGCTTAAGTGGTGGACATTAGTGCGTATAACTTTGACACTTGAGCCAGAGTTCGTTTCATAGAGCTACATTTCTAGCCATAACATATGTGTATAAAGGTACATACATACATACATAACATGTAACAACGGCCGATTCAACTGTACTAAGTCTGTCAAAGTCCAAATCGGCCTAATAGCAGCTACCGAACAACGGGCCTAAATATTTCTTTCATATTTTAATGGAAATTTCATTGCAGATGCATAGATATGTAACAACACATTATTACATTTTAATTGCTTAATTTTATATTATATCAGGTATATCGATTTGGTAATCAGTAATTAATTTATTTTCCGCGCAGTAATGGTGGTAGTGGTTTGAAGTCGTATTGGAATTGAACTCTATTGACTCAGAACTGAAAATATAATAATGACTTACTAACACATATGCATGTGTATATCGTTACCTTAATATAGAAAGGCCCACTATGACATATTTGTTTATATACGAAATGGTTGAACGGCTTGAAAATAAGGCGTGAGTACGGCTTGACAAAGCATTAGGCAATTCATTTATATAGAACATAAATACAAATAGGTTAGGTTTGAAATTAAACATTGTTTTAATTTGTTCGTGTCCAGTAAACGTCTTTTTCATAACTACTTCGGGAATTGCTCTCGTTACGAGTTTCGAACTACCCCTAAATGATCCCTAAATACTCCCAAAACTGGCATGAAGTAGTTCTGATGTGGTTCTGAAAAAGGTCGCGAACTTGCCCCGAAAGAATCCCGATCAAGTCTTGAAACAAGCCAGAAATGGTCGCCTTCTAGTTCTAAAATGATCCAAAACTATTCCCGAAATGTTCCTGAACAAGTCGCGTAAGAAACCCGAAATGGTCCTCAACTAGTATCCGAAATAGACCTAAACAGGTCTGGAAATGGTCCTGAACAGGACCTGAAACCATCAAAAAAGCCGTGAAACGATCTCAAACAAGTTTTAAAATCTTCCCAAAATACTCCCGAATTGGTCCTGAACAGGTCTGGAAAAGATCCTGAACATGACATGAAATGGTCCGGAAATACCTATTATGAATTTTCACGGTTGAAACTCATGCTCGCACTTGTTGAATCACAATATGAGGAAGTGTAAACAATTTTCAGTGTACACTTCAAAGCTCACTCTTACAGAATTCAGCCTCAGCGCCAGAAATAATCCCGAAATGTTCCTCAACTTGTCGTGAACTAGTCTCGAAATAGGCGTGAACTAGGCCAGAATTGTACAACATATAATACATACAAATTTATTTCATTGGAAGTTATTGGAATTCATTGACATTTTCTAAATATTTTATATAGTACTGGAGTTTTAATTAAGCTTTTTATATACCCATTTATTTTCTAAACAAATTAGTGTTATAATTCTATGAAGAAGTGAACGCAAAGATTGCTGTAGATTTTCATTATTCACCTCAGACTGCAAAAATGACTAATTAATATGAATAACCGAAAAGACTAATGACTTCAACTTTGCAGTCTTTAGTCAAATATGTGACTGATTGTTGGCTGCAGTTAAAAAGTGTTAGTCAGTGAATGTGACTGCAACGATTTAAAGTCACGAAGACTGCATTCTTCAACACCTCGGCTGCAAGCCCCAAGCTAAGGGAATTAATTTTGCTTTAGAGAAACGTGTATAAAATAGTAACGTACTAACAATTTCGCAATTTGGCAAACTCCAAATGGATTTTAGGCCCATGGCTTCTTCGACAAATTTCCTTAGAATTACACGTGGAATCCTCCTGTGCTACACGCGCACAGTCGAATAAGTTTCCCATACAAATTGGCCCACCCTAATGTACAAATGCACATATATGATTTTTAGGTGTTCTAAGCCCAACTACGGTTGCTAAGGTTCGTACACTTCACGAACTGGTTGTAGGTGAAGATTTCTGGATGGGGTAACATAATGGGCCACTGCTTAGGCGTAGGTGCGCTGACCTTATTCTAAGTTCAGCCGCCACTTTGACCTACCCTAAACTAACCCTGGACAAAACATTGTCTACCACTCGAAGAGGTAAAGTTTGCACCCAACTTGATCATACCTTAGTTAGCTATTTCAAGAAACAACGGACAACTACTAGACAATCAATAAGCCGTGGCAGCATTCAGAAAGGAAACGCTTCTGCTTAGCTGCGCACAGCAGGTAATCAACAATATTTCACGTACAGTGAACCAACAAGTGCAAGTGTAATTGCTTTTTAATTGCAGCGCCCTGTCAACTCCCTTCTTGCCATTCGCGCCCTCCGTCCGCTGTTTCTACATAAATATATCAGGAACACTTTGAGACCCCTCTACATAAGTAGTATACAGTGAAAAACTCAACCGATGGCTTGTAACACGACGCTTTCCACTTGTCACTTGCCACTTGCCACTTGCCATTCACCCGTCTGGTTGCAGCTAAATTACTTTCAGCGGTTTTTTGAAAACGCCATAGGAATATTTGTTTGTATGCTGACTAGCCACATCAACAACCTGTAAAATATTTATTTATCCTTTCAACAAACCGCACGCATTTTAGCTACCCATTAGAATTAGTGACGGCCTGCGGGTATGGTGGCGCTCGACGCTTATCAGTGCGGCTGAATGCTTGTGCTGGTGGCATTGATTGTACTAACATACATACATATGTACATAAGTACAAACATATTTTACGCGCCATTGATGTGTGCAGCTTCGAGTCATTTTAAATTCAATTTTATTTTGCCGACATCATTGTTGTTGCCGGCGGTGATAAATAAAGCAAACTATGGGAGATCGCGGAACTTAATTAAATCCCAAGCCAATAATTTCCGCAGCACATCGATGTGGCGTGTTACAACTGGGCACAGGCATGGAGGTGCTGATGTGAGAAAAGATTTGAACAGCGTGCGGTGAATGGGAGGCAGATAAAATTTGAAAATAGCGTGGAAAATCGGGCTTATACATACATATGTACATATTAATATTTACACAAGTATCTATGTATATAGGACATGACAATATATTCCACATGGAATTTATGTAAATTAATAGTGTGAAATATTTGAACTTCACGATTTTCGTGCAGCGCAGTTTTTTATGTGTTTGCGTCAGCAAGTCATGTTTATGTATTAATGAAAATTGAACAATTAACACCAGCAAGATTGCTATGACATTTTGGCGACCCCACAAATACGTCTACTAAATAAGTAGGTATGTAAGAGTACATACGCGGGTTTTACGGTGCGGTGACATAACTGGCAATTACCCTCCGCCGTTAAGTCCAATTTAATTTAGAGGGCGAACAGTACATTAAAAGAGAGAGTACTTACTAAATGTCATAGAAATCGCCCACAAGGGTGGAGAGCTTGGCAGTGAGCCCATCTTTATCATATTTTATAATTCTCCATTCAGTTTTAGCGAAATCGGTGCATGCTAAGTATTTTTGCTAACAGCTTATATGGAGCCGCAACACTGTGCAATGCACTATGGGTAATTTGATCAGTTTATGTGGCCAAATGTCATTTTTCGTATGCACAAAAATAAATAAAACAAGTAAGAAAGTCTAAGTTCGGACGGAGCCGAACATTAAATACCCGGCGAAAGTATTAAATATGTATATGTTTTTCGCCTTTCCGAATGCTACCGCTACATGGTAAACCGGGGTGTATCCATTTTGAGTAAATTAGCGTCCTTAAATTTCGAAATATTGAAGTTTCAAGCATTTCTGAAATTTACTGTTATATGAAGAGCGACCGTAATTTTAGTTCGATTTCAATAATTTTCAACGTTTTGCTTCTATGTGGCAAGCACGAATTGGTACGAATTGGTAGAACGTTTACCGAGATACATATATGTGATCATAAGTGGGCGGTGCCACTCCCATTTTTCAAAATTTTATCCTAAACGTATTTCTTGGTAAAGAATTGTTGCAAGCATCAATTTTGAATAATATAGCTTCAATAATTACTGATTTATCGAAGATTTCGTATTTCTCTAAATTACCGTTATATGGGATGTGGGCGTGGTTATTGTCCGATTTTGCCAATTTTCAATAAAATTCGTCCTACACCCAAAAGAAGTGCACATACCAAGTTTCGTTAAGATATCTCAATTTTTACTCGAGTTATCGTGTGTTATACCGAGGTTAACAACTGTGCCAAGTTTGGAAGAAATTGATGCAGCGGTTACCAAGATATACACATGTAACCATAAGTGGGCGTGGCTACGCCCATTTTCCAAAAATTTATAATATTCTTATTTTTCGCCTAAAACTTATTGTAAATATCAATCTTGAGTGAATAAACTTCAGTAGTTACTAAAATATCGCAGTTTTCGTATTTCTGAAAATTACCGTTATATGGGAGGTAGGCGTGGCTATTGTCCGATTTTGCCAATTTTCAATAAAATTCGTCCTACGCCCAAAAGAAGTGCACATACCAAGTTTCGTTAAGATATCTCAATTTTTACTCGAGTTATCGTGTGCACAGACGGACGGACGGACGGACGGACAGACAGTCACAGCTTAATCGATTTCTCTGTTCATGCTGATCATTTGTGTATACATTTGTCTATATCTATCTCGATTCGTTTTGCCTGTTACAAACAACCGTTATGTGAACAAAGTTATAATACCCTTGTGCACAAGTGCGCTCGGGTATAAAAAGATTTGATAGAGAAAACTTCAAACAAAATAACGGGGTATTTTATTTTTGTAAAAAATTAACGACAACTACTTAGCAGGTGGCCAAAGTCATCGTATGTGTGTGAAATATTTAAATCGATTTTGTGTTCTTTTTTTAGCTAATTTCAAACAACTAAATTTTATTAAAAATTGTTTAAAAAATTTGCAAAAATATAGAGAATAAGGAGAAAAGTAAGTACTTTTAAAATCTATAACTGATTTTTTTGAATTTTTATGGCGATAAAAATACATACTCCTGACATAGTCTTTAATACATTTTTTTCTTAAAAGTGCTATCAAAAACATAAAATAAAGAGTTTTGAGTTTAACCTGCCAATTTTATGTTGCGAATTTTGCCTTTTCTGAGAAAACAGCTTCTTTTGTACATATTCTTTATACGGTCAGTAGTGAACGATTTACCAGTAG